CGAGGAAACCGGAAGAGCGAGGGGGGACCCCCTAAGTCCTGGGAAGCGTCTTCACCCCAGGAGAGAATCTTTTGACAGGGTCCTTCCTTGGGTACGGCCGGGCCACAAGGTCCACCCTCATGGTCAGTGTCTCCGAAACCTGCCCCACCCCCAAAGCTGTGGACACCCCGATCTGTCCCCTGCAGAGCACACAGGCCTCAGTCTCCGGTGGACCTCGGCGTCCCGGGCCAGCTGCCACGCCCAGCACGCGGAGCTCTCACGGACACGTGGCAACGTCCAGACATCTGTCAGACCGTCCTCAGCATGGGATGCACCCTGACCGACATGCTCTTCACATGTGCAAACCGCGCTCCGTGTCGAAAGCCAAACTTGAGGGGGCCTTCTCCGACCTTCAATGTCAGAAGCGTCTTGGCTTGCCTGCTCCGTCCTCCGGCGCGAAGACGGGTGGACGGCGAGAGCTCGGGGAAGGGCGAGGACAGAGACCCGAGGGGAGGTGGGGGGGCCCCTCCCGCCACAAGCCCGTGCTCTGGAGTGGGCCACAGGTGGACGGCTGTCATGCCCGTGAAAACGAAGGTAGAAAATTAGAAACACGTTTCGCTTTTCATATGTCACAGGTTGGACTAAAACCTCAATAAGGATCTGTGCTTTCCCTTCCATAGTGCTTGTGTGGGAGGCCCGGCCTGGCTCGCTTCTGGCCGGAATGTTGCAGCCACCGCACGCTGGCCATCACCCCCAAAACCCGGGATATCTCTGGTGACAGCTCTCAGCGTGCGGGCAGAGGGCAGCTACCCTGAGACAACAGCAGACCTGTGAGGGTGTTCAGGTGGCGTCCCACGCCCCCGGCTGGGATTAGAACCCGCAGCCTGCTGCCTTCCAGGGCCCCTGACAGGTGGAGGAGGGCACCGGGGGGCGGCAAACCCCCCATCGCTCCCATCGCTCACTCACCCGTGCACCTGCTGTCCTGCCAGACAGGGGCCCTGCTGGGGGCCCTCAGCGCTGACACCTCCCTGCCTCCCTCCCTCCCCGCTTACCTAACGGGGCTTCCACACGGGGGTTTGTTCCCGATCTCCGTTGCACACGCCCGTCGTGCCGTCCGTTTCAAACTCCTCCCTCTGCCCCTCCCCACCCGTTTACACAACAGGCGCTGCGCCCCCAAACACTCTTGCCCAGTGACCGGGGGCCGAGTCCTTGACAAGTCTGGTGCACCCCTCTGTCCTCACTCGAGCCCGCTGGTCATGGGACTTTCGGCCACGTACAGATGGTCAAGTTCAAGGGCTCGGGCCCCCGGAGAGGGACATCTGGGTAAGCACCAAGGAGTCAAGTCGTCGGGGCACTTAGAATCGTGCCACTTACACACATGGTGTCACGGGGTCATCAGGGAGAGCTGCGTTTAGTTAAGCACGCTGACACGGGTGTGCACGCCCACTGAGCTTCTCAGGAGCACGCTGGCGGGACCGGCACAGCCCTGACAACCTGTGCTCACGTGCCGTGCACGCAGCTGTCCGCCCCGGCCCTGGTCTGACACATTCCTCTTCCCGCACCATCACAGGCTGCTGACTGCCCCCGCCCCCCACCCCGAGGAATAACTCGATGATCTTCATTTACGGAGATCAGCACGTCGGTGTCCAAACCAGAGGGACTTCATCGGTCCGTTTGAGATGTTTTCTCCAGCAGCCTCTGCACGTCCCTGGAAAATCTTTGTCCAAGGCGGGTCTGCTGATGGACATACTGGTCATTTCCCCGGCACATCTGCACGATGGACAGTAAACACGCTCACTTGGCATCAGCTTTGTCCTCGAAGTGGATGGCGTCACGTCAGGGGAAATCGTGCCAGTATCAGTAAGTTTTACAACAGCCTTTCAATGTCTTCAAATACAGAAAACACCACGGCTGGCGTAGCTCAGTGGATTGAGTGTGGGCTGAGAACCAAAGCATCGCAGGTTCGATTCCCAGTCAGGGCACATGCCTGGGTTGCAAGCCACGGCCCCCAGCAACCGCACATGGATGTTTCTCTCTCTCTCTCTCTCTCTCTCTCCCTCTCTCTCTCTCTCTCTCTATCCCCCTCCCTTCCCTCTCTAAAAATAAATAAATAAAATCTTTTAAAAAATACAGAAAACATCTGTTGTTGCTTCGAATCGCAGAGAAATACGGGGCGTCCCACACAGCCCATTCCCACGAGATGTCGTTTTCCCTCCCAGAGACGGGTTTTCTTTGGCACCTGCCTTGCATGTGGGGTTGCGACCGCATACATCGGGAAGCGTTTAACCCGACACGAAAGCCGTGGTGAGCAGTCACGTCCGATCGCTGCGGCAGCGCTCCGGCCCTGACCCCGTGAACCTCGCAGCTGCGCGGCGACGCCGGCCAGATGTCCGTGCGGGCGCCGGCCCAGCCCTCCTCGCCTCCCCAGCGGGCTCTGCGGGGCCCTGGGAACGGACCGGGAACGGGGAGCCGGAGCCCTCGCAGCCTCCAGACCGCCTCCGAGATCAAAGCCCCCGGCCCGGGCACCCAGGCCGGGTGGCGGCTCTGCGACACGCACCCTCCGAACCCAATGGGAGACCCGCCAGGGAGACAGTGGCCACCCCCGAAAGGAGCAGAGGAGGAGCGCGTGTGCGGTCCCCAGACTGCACAGGGGGACACAGGGGGACTGCCGCCAGGGTGCCACCCTGAGGCGCGAGGTTCAGAAGTCATGGAGCACATCACAGGATGAGGTTTTTATAAAGTAAACGCGTGACTCTCCTGCAAACAGGCAAGGGCGTGGGTCACAGACCCGATGTAACTCGGAGGCCGCTGCAGGCACCTGGCAGGCAGGCGTTGCCTGTGGGGCCAAGGAGACAGCCAGGGAGTATAAACAGAGGCCCGTTCCGAGGCTGGAACGGACGGACAAACAGCTGGGGAAGGGCCTGTTTATTCCCGGGACGAGCGTCTTGGCTCAGGACACCACTGGCCTGCCTTCCCAGGGACCAGGCCGTCCCCATCAGCGCAGCTTTGCACGCAGCAGAGGGGCAGGAAAACAGCTCCGAGAGCTGCCTCGGGGATAGGGCCGGGGGGGCAGCGTGCTGGGGGGGAGGGGCAGTGGGGGGGTGGATGAGCTCACGTTCTGGACAGAGGCTGCCAGTGATGGGGCTTCCCAGCGAGGAGCCAGAAATGGGCAGAAAGTGGGCAGTTTGTGTAAAATGCTACATAAACCTGACTTTTTAACACGCATGCAGAAAGCTCTATGAGCGATGTCATTTCTGGGTGTTTTTATTCTGGTTCTTTCGGGGTTTTTTTAATCTCCCGTCGCCATGCTGGTGCAAAACAGTCTTCCGCGGCTGTTGACGTCTACGCGGCGCGAGGCAGGCAACCGCGTCCCAAACTGCGGGGCGCGTCTGCCCGTTCGCTGCAGCTGGCCCCAGGGGCACCACCCGCTGCGTGTGTGTGCCTACGTGTCCTCACCCGGGACGTGAACCGCCCGTCACTGCCCGCTCGCCCCTGTATCCTGAAGCCCCGGGGGGAAAGCCCACCTGTGCTCCATGAAGCTCAGAAGACACACACATCATCAAGCTTCTGTGCAAAGGTCTGTAGCGACGATAGCATCCAAAGCAGGCCACGCTGTGATTCACACATAAGAGTCCTTCCCAGGGTTTGGACTAAATACGGCCCTTTGTAACCTGTGCCAAAGCTTCCGTTGCAGTTAGCTGTGGCTTGTGGATTCACCCGGCAGCTTGCAGGCCAAAGGAATGGGTTTCTGTTCTGCAAACCTCGGTCGCGAGGGTGAGCCCTGGCCGGCCCGTGGCACACGCGGTTTCACGGCCCGCAGCGCCCAGAGCTGCGGTGTGTCTCACTGGGGTGTTTCAGACGCAGCGCCTCGGGGAGCTGCAGGGATCAGGGGAGACAGCTGGAGACCCAGGCACGGAAGAGAACTGGACAAATAAAGGGAGCCTAGTTCCAACGAACCTCTTTCACTCAAGTGGCAAGCGGATAAGAAAGGATCAGTGCACTTTCTGACGGGGTGAGGAGACAGGGGGGTGCTTGAGTGGGAAATGATAGTGAGACAAACAGTTGTTGTCTACATGACACCCAACAAAGACAACATTGAAACGCACTACTTAGGAAATTTAGTCAGCTTCATGGAGATATGTGTGTGTGTGTGTGTGTGTGTGTGTGTGTGTGAATATGTATGTGTATGTGTATATATAAAATAAATTAACCACAGTAGGAAGTTAGCAACAGTGGATTGAGCGCGGGCTGCGAACCAAAGCATCGCAGGTTCAATTCCCAGTCAGGACACATGCCTGGGTTGCAGGCCACAGCCCCCAGCAACCGCACATGGATGTTTCTCTCTCTCTCTCTCTTTCTCCCTCCCTCCCTTCCCTCTCTAAAAATAAATAAATAAAATCTTTAAAAAAAAACCTACCTCTTGAGTGGAGCCAAAGAGCCTCATGTTGTGAGGTTTGGGGAGGGAGACACAAAATGTGTGCCCTGAACAATGTGCATGAGTGTCACGACACGTGGAGAGCTCATGTGAGCAACATGAAACGCTCCCCATGGAAAAGAGACCGTGCACTTGAAGAATCAAAGTATTTCACCAGCAATTCTTCCACGCAGAGAAACCATCTACAAAATAACTTAAGTCTAAGTAAGATGTACTACATCTTCTGGCCTAACCAGAAGGTGCTACCTCCTTAAATTTTTTTCATTCAAAACCTCACAGAATAAAGAGAGAAATGACGGGGGAGGTGCAAATGATGATCCACACACCCCTGGACGCTAACAAACACGCACCCTACATGTGTGCCACGCCCCACAGAGGTACAGATACATTGTAGCAATGCCAGCGCCCAGCTTTCAATTTCGTTCCACAAAAAGCATACAGTGTAGCCATGGCTGTGGACCGGGTGAGCAGTATCCTGCATTTCTCTGTGCTTCGATTTCACAACTTCCAGGGACTCTATAATTATTCCACAATGAAATGTTGTTTTTTTTAAAAAAAAATACAAACACAGTCACAAAGAACCTACCTTAGAACATTGCTTGTGATTCTGGCACCAAACCAGGGAACCATTGTTCTGCGAAAAGAAAAAGAAATATCGACCCGTTACAAACCCTTCTGAGGAAAAACGACCAAGACATTTAAGGGGTGTGAATGGGCTTTTTTTAATATTTGCCTGAACCGGACGGAGACCAGGGTTGCGGCCCTGAGAGCGGTGGTTAGAAAATGCGTTTCTAACGGAAGTCCGGTTGTACCCTCGACTTCACGACAGAAACAAAGACGATGTATAAATGAATCAGGCTTCCGAGCCGTGCCCAAGGGAGGAAGAGTGGGCAGGAAAACGCACGCTCAGACCTGCCCGTCGCAGCGGCTTTGGCGAGGTCTCACCCCCGCGGGGGGGGCGTGGACACCCAGCAGGCGCTGAGCTGCCCGGTTCGCAGCACCGACGGGCGGAGCCTGGGACTCCGCCGTCCCCGGAGAAGCCTCCTCCTTCCCGTTCACTGGGCGAGTGACACGGACCAGGGCCGAACCACCCCCGTGCCCCAGCGTATCCACCTGTAGGGCAAAGGGACAAACCTCACGCGGGAGGTCGCTGGGATGAGTCAACAATATAATGCACATGCATCGGCATCCCCGTGTTAGACAACAGATCTTCAGACCCATCTCCAACGTGCAAATGTCTGCCTAGAAGCTTCTCGTCCCACACGATGAAGACTTTGGTCACCACTCTTCCTTTGGCGGTGATGTTTTCCGCCCGATGATGCTGGGCGGGGGCCCTCGGGAGAGACAGAAGCCACCATCTCCCAGTGATGAAGATGTCCCGTCGTGACCTCCGGGTCTTGGAAGTTCAAGCTCGGGCATGGGGTGAGATAGCCTGCATCCTGTGTGAACCTCTACACGGCTCATTTTTTAATCGGTTTTAACTCTTTTTTTTAAGATTTTATTTTTATTTATTTTGAGAGAGGGAGGGGAGGGAGATAGAGAGAGAGAGAGAGAAACATCCATGTGCTGTTGCTGGGAACCTGGCCTGCAACCCAGGCATGTGCCCTGACTGGGAATCGAACCTGCGACGCTTTGGTTCACAGCCCACGCTCCATCCACTGAGCTACGCCAGCCAGGGCTCATTTTTAAGAGCATCAGAGTGGATGTTGGTTTGCAGTTATATTTTTTAAAAAACCCTGAAATAATAACATCTTCAAAAAAATACTTGTCATAACTTTCTTGAGAGAAAAGTCACACGCCTGCACATCCCTTATTTAAAGGGTACGATTCGGTGGCTTTTAAGTACAGTCACCAGACCGGGCGACGCTCTGCCGATCCTTTTTAACCTTTCCATCAACTGGGAAAGAAAGAATCCCCCGCCCCCTGTTCGCTCCCCCGACCCAGCCGCGGGCGGCCACAGGCCTGCTGCCCGACTCCCACTCCGTAGCCTGCCCTCCCCTGCGCATCTCCCGTGAAAGCAACGACCCCGCAGGTGGCCCTCTGTGCCTGGCTGCGCTCGCCTGCTACCTGCTACCTCGCGCTAAGTGCCGGGGTGTTTTTGCTTCATCTCTGTAGCCGCATGCATCGGCAGCTCGTCCCGGGTGCTGTCCGACTCCGTGGCGTGGCGAGGCCCTACTGTGTCTCACTGAGTCCCGTTTCTAATAACACGTCTGCATAACGCGGGGGTCCCCCAAACCCCTGGGTGGGTCTCAGGTGGGCGGGCCGAGCCCTCCTCCTTCTGCAGGGGAAGGGGGCGGGGCTAAGATCTGTCGGGCCCGCGGGAAAGCTGAGGGGCGAAACCTCTCCACCCTGTGGCCCCCCGAGCTCCGTGGTGGTCCCTGCGCGGGCGGACTCCTGCCGGGGCGTCCCAGGAGCAGGGCTGTCAGAGCGTCCTGCCCCCACGGGCGTGTTCCATGCTGAGCACCCCCAAGGCCCTTGTCAAGAGACCGGGTGCACGCCACTTCCAGAAGATGCTTATTTAGCAGGGCCACAGTCTGAGCGCACTGGGCCTGCTGCAGCCAGGTCGGAGGCTCCTGCCGCTTGCTGCGAGATCGCCCGCGGGGCCAGCTCCCCTGCCCTTTCCCCTGCAGGCCTTTCCTCCCCCGGGCGGGCGACCGCAGCCTCTGCAGGGGACCAGGGGCCCTTCTCTGCCCCTGCGTGTCCTGCACGGCTGTCCATGGGTGTGTCACGCCCTCCTCTGCCGGGGGTCTGTGCTGTCTTGGACCTGAACCTGAGCTCCCCAACCGCAGGGCAGCCCAGGAGGCAGGAGGCACTGTTTCCGTTCGGCCCCAGTGACCCACACGGGCCGCGGACCAGCCCCTGCTGGGCGCCAGACACAGATGTCCATCAACGCCGGGCCCTGGGACAGGGCTGCACCAGTGGGCGTGGCCGAACGAGTGGGCGTGGCCAAACAAGTGGGCGTGGCCGCCGCTGCCGGCCGAGGGCGCGCTGGCGGTAATATTACTGAGAGGTCGCCTGATTGTCACACTGTGGTTACCAAGATGCGTGGCCGCTTCCCCGCAGCGGGCCCTGGCGCTGCCATCTGACATGCGCAGTCCCCATCAGCATCGTCCACCCGACCCAGGAGACGGCTCCCCGCTCCCCAGTTAACAGACGAGGGCTTGGCCAGCCGACTGAGGCGTGCGCGATCACAAAGCCAGTGGCGGCAGCCAGCCGCAGGGGGACAGGGTGTGTCTGGGGGCAGGGGGGTGCGATCCCAGGGGGCCTGGGCCAGCCCCAGCCTCTAACCTCGCAGGGGAGACAGGGGAGAGGTGGGCCCACAGCCCCCATCTCGGGGACATCCAGGTGGGTGCATGCAGAGAATACAGCAGGAGATTGGGTGTCGGTGTATCACTGGAAATAGAAATCTTTTAGTTGATGTCAGAGGGTTAAAAAAAAAAATAAACCAGAAAGAGCTGTCAGGAGTTCTCTTCCGGGCTCATGTGGGTAACACCCTTCTGCCCTGGCTGGCGTCCGTAGCTCAGTGGATTGAGCGCGGGCTGCGAATCAGGCATTGCAGGTTCGATTCCCAGTCAGGGCAGATGCCTGGGCTGCAGGCCATGACCCCTAGCAACTGCACATTGATGTTTCTCTCTCTCTCTCTCTCTCTCTCTCTCCCTCCCTTCCCTCTCTAAAAATAAAAAAATAAAATCTTAAAAAAAAAAAAAGGATAACACCCTCCTGCTGCCCCGGACAGGGGGCGAAAGGGCCAACCCCCGACAATGAGCACGGAGAGAAGGCAGCAGCGAAGACTGCCAGCAGGGACCCCGAGGACAACCGGGGTGCCCCCACCCGTGGGCTCAGACGCCTTCCGAGCCCACAAAGAAACCCACATGCGAAGAGTCCGCCAAGCTGCTCCCGAGTCCCTGAGAGGTAACACCAGTGCAGGTCCCCACCCCACGCAGGTTCATCTCTGGACGGATTTCCCACTGACCTCGGGACAGAGAAAGCCCCACCGTTAGAAGGAAACATCCGGGGCGACAGCGGGCCACCCCAGAAGACTGTGTCCTGTGACGGTACCCACTTTTATGACCAAAGACACCATGTCGAAGGGTGCCCGGGGAGATGAGAAACATCCTCCAGGCACCGTGTTTAGCAGGACACCCAGGGCGGGTCGTCGGGGGAGGGGAGAAGCGCATTGCTTTGCCGTTGTGACTGCGTTTACGAGTGGGGGAGGGGCGCCATACCACGTTGGGAACCCCCCAGTCTGACGGGCCACGCGCTTCCACGCTCTCTGAGGTGGCGGCGAGGCTGAGAAGGGGGCCCATCACGCTCTCCTCCCCGGCGGACGCCAGCCCCTCCCCCCTGTTTGCCTAGGTGAGCAGCCGGCAGTGCCGGCATCTCAGACTCCATTTCCTGGGCCTGGCCACTGTCGTGCTTGGACGGGGAACGGTCTGTCTCAGGGGCTGTGAACACTTTCCGGGGCGTTCTTTGTCTTTGGGACCTCTGCACGGAGTTTTTCCACGCACACATTTTCCACACACACACACACACACACACACACACCCCTTCCTCAAAACGCGTCCATCTCCTCTTCGCATTTCATTTTCCTTCCTGGCTCCTGTTTCCCTTCACACAGCCCCTCCCCCTGGTTAAGCTTTCGCAGCGGCTCACACACGCTCTGGCCTTCATCTGTCATCCTTCTCCACACTCTTCCTCTCCACAAAAAACTTCTAAGAAGCCGGGCTCCTGCCGGCACGGGTGTCTGTAAACCGCCCCCCGCCCCACCCCCTCCGCCTCCGCCGCCGTGTTCCGGCCAGGTGTGCGCCCTCCGCCGGGGGCGCTTACCTGCGTGCGCTCTTCCGAGCAGGGGGGCAGCAGCAGCAGCAGAACACCAGCGCCGCTGCAGCCTCCCGCCCCGGGGGGGGGGGGGTGGGTTCTGGAGCACATGCCACAATAGCCCTCAGCAGGTAAGCCACCTGACAACGAGAATAAGACACGGTCTTTGCACGGCCGCCCCGATCTGGCGTGAAGCCAACGAAACGCAGAGGCCGAGAGAGCAGGAGGATGTTGTTGCCTCTGGACCCGGGGCTGGGGCCGGGGCCGGGGCCGGGGCCGGGACCGCCAGGCAGGATCAGACGGCGGGGCTTTTGAAGGGCCGCAGGGATGACATCCCGCGTCTTGTTGGTTTTACCAGATCAAACGCGTGCCCCTCTCAAAGGGTGTGTGCGGCGAGTCCCGTCACCTGCCGCCCACGTTGTTTCCGTGACACGCTCCGGGTTTCTGCAAAAAGCCTTTTTGATTTTTTTTTCTCCTCTCCTTCAAGCAAAACGAAGGCTTCAAAAGCTTCGAAGGAAGAAAACACTCCATTCACTCAGACGCAGCCCCCGAGGAGGAGAGAGAGAGGGGAAGGAAAACTGGTTATCCAGACACCACCGTCTGAAGAGAGGAGAGAATATTGTACTCATCACAGGTTGCACTTTCCTTTCGACCTGACCAGGTGTGGGCGGGGGGCTGTCTCGGGGGGCATCCGCTGGCAGTTTCGGAAAAACACCGAAGTCTTGTCCAGCACAGGACGGAAGGTGCCACCCTGAAACCATCCCAGGAAACCCACAGCAGACGGCACCTTGACTCATCATCCGCCCTGGAACCCTG